TGTTTTCTTTCACTGAGAAATTTCGCATCGTAGCGTCGTAGTGGCGACAAACATCGCGTGGGATTCGACAAACACCGTGACGAAAGTAATTGTGGGGATATTTCCATGCTTAATAATGTGCTACACACAATTTTGACGAAGTAAGGATATCTCAAGGTTATACTTCTCTCTGTAAGAATATTTTTTGCCAGACGCCTTTAACGCATAACGCGAGATTTCGCAGTTGAACGGAAAATCACCTATTATACAGCCACAGTGTGACTATCGACGTTTACAATACTAACATAACACAGACATAAATTTGATTGCACATCTGTAATTTGCAGACTATGTTTTATCAGAAAGATATTAGAAAGCATTATATACGCCATAACTATAACCTTAACTTAATTGTCTATATACGGTTTACCTTGAGCACTTATGGTATCAAGTTTCATTGCAGTCTGATGTGTTTTACTTAAGATATCTGTGAAAGAGCTGAAAATTAGCTTACTCATGTAAATTATGTATTTCATATGCACGGTTTTAAACCCTAAACTAATCACATCTGTGAGTTTCCCAGAGCACCTATGTACAAGTATTTTTGTGATATCTGTGTTAAAGATAAAAGTGGCTAATTTATGTAAATTAGGTATTTAATATGCAAAGATTTCAATTCTGACATATTAAATATTTATGTTAAGTCGTTCTTCAAAATGGTGAATTATTAAGTAAATTAGCTAATTAAAAAGGACGCACTTGAATCCTTGGCTCATCAGGCCTGTGGGTTAAAGTGGTTAAGTATTATGCAAATTAGATAATTAATATTCACGGATTTCAGCTAAAAACTTACCATGTAATTTATAGGAGCAACCACGATCAAGTTTAGTCTGTCTGTCAGCATTCTTTACTCTCTGTTTGTTTATATTACCTCAAACCTTGCAAATAGAAGTGTGCATGGAATCATGGGAAGAAACGGCGTGCATTGCCGTGTGATAACTGTCATAAAGGTGATTGACAGGTTATACTTGTTTACAACTCTGGAAGGACAATTGGAATTTACCAGGTGTGCTTGTGATTTACATAAAAAAGGATGTTTACAACTCTGGAAGGACAATTGGAATCTACCAGGTGTGCTTGTGATTTACACAACAAAGAATGTTTACGATCTCCTGACTTGCCTACGTGAGACAGCTGCTAGCAAGACCACATTCTGATTGGTTCCTGTGGAAACCCAGGTGGTGTACCTGAATTTGGGCCTTTTATGCCTTATAAATAGGCTAGACTGAGGACAGGTGTGGACCACCATTTTAGTTGAGTTCTCTGTGTGTTGCTGCTGCGATATTGTTAGACAAGTGATACAGAAGCCATTAACTGTCATCCATTTCTACATCCTGGAACTGTGCGTTATCACCAATTCACACTTCCCTAGACAATCCCCTATTTTAGTGATTTTATTCATTGTATTATTCTGTGCTTTGTCTCTCGTAATTATTTTGAGATGTATTAAAGTCAGGGGCTTTAACTTGATATTTTGGTGTGTGTGTATTTCATTTCCAGTACTAATGTCTTGTTTACCCCATTCTAGCAGTGAAAGAACCCCCTGTCCAGTGTGAGTTCTGAGGGTGTCCCTCTCAATATCAATAAGCAGGCCTTACACTGTGACACTGTCCAATATCATTTGCGTTACCAAGTAAGGCAAATGTAGATAATGCATATATATGATCGACACTATCGCGTGTACGGTAGTCTAGCAACTACAAATTACCCGAAACTTGTATATTTACAGAGTAAATAATATAGGATACACGACAAGTTGGTCACTATGTTGATTCAAATAAAGTAAACATGAAGCGACGCTCGCGAAATCGCCTTGTCACAGATCACGGCATGACTTTCCTTACCTAATGTATATATATAATTATATATATATATGGTGTTCAGGCTTAGCTATATGTTTTTGGGAGACCACATACTTACGACAAGATTTCTATCGAGATTTTTGTTCAGTTTATGTAAGCATAAGCCATTTGCGGGTTCCAATGACATGGGCATTTTGTCTAGGCACGTCATCACATCCATCATTTTGTTTTCTGCTAGAATGTATGAGATTAGGTGAAGAGGAATAAGTGTATTATAATAAAAATAAAAGCATTGTGCAAATGTTTGAATAACAAAATGTAAAATCATTTCTGTGTTGGTTTAAGTTCTGTGCTCTTCGTGAAAAAATGGCACACTGGACAGTTTAAAAACAACCGTTAAAAGTTGACCTCATACAAGTTGCCGAGATTATACAAAGAGCAGATTAGCGGTGGTCAATAAAAGATCGGATGAACCCTAACGTTTATTGTTATTAAAATAACCTATGTTGAATCAAGCAAGAAAGAGGAAATGAATCTGAAAATCACGTCGGCAGATTTCGATACGAATCTGACATTTCATATTGACCGTGTGAACTTGTAAACCAGGAAAGAGGAAGTAAAATAAATAAAAATAAAAATCCGATACACCTTTTTAAAAAACTGCAAATAAATCTTTGAGACCCTAGTAATACCTTTTATTACTTTCAGCCAAAAATGAATTTGTAATTTCATTACGGTGTAATAAAACTGTATTATTATTATTATTATTATTATTATTATTATTATTATTATTATTATTATTATTATTATTATTATTATTATTATTATTATTGCTCTGACCTACCCTACCTTTCATTAATTGTACTTCTAAACAGAAATATACTTATGTGAATAATACTTGAATCTGCAAATACATCATGCAACAAAAATTATCATTGTCTCACTTGTCATGCCTTTTTGGCAGACAACCATGAGTGTGCGAACGTAACATCACGCCATATAACTTGTGTATTAACATATGGCATTTGAGTGTGAAGAGCCCCACAGTATAACGATACCATGCTTTGAAACTCATAAAGTGCGTCCCAACATCAGCAAATCGTCCCCATATTTTGCAGTTTGGATTGCCCTTTTCATTGGATTGTCTATTAACATTACTATGATTCCACACATACTTCTAGTCCACATTAGAACCATCATAAAACAGCTCGTTGAGGGTTGACTAAATTCGGTCAAAGCACTTATAACATTTGAAGTAGGTGTAAAAATACCGACACCTTCTTCACGATCAAAAATCATATTTGTTTTTTGCAACCACTGTTATCGTTCTACTTATAGGATATTATTTCACCCACAGAATAGCTTTCAGAGCATTACGTATTAGTTTAAGCTGATGGCGTACAAGGAGGGACTGAGATTGGACACGCGTTTGTTTCCAATGTGAACTATTGTAATCTATATGCAGCAGGGGGGAAATCCCATTGTAAATTATGATGAAACTCTGATCACGTGATACGGAATTGAACTCTACTTCGTCTTACCAACCCATTAATGGCGGATTGTTTCTCTACAGTCTGTGCAGCTCGTAGGGAACGCTCATCTTAAAACGACTAAGTTCCGGTCTAGAAATATTTTTCCACAAAGGTAAGATTTAAATACTTATTCAATACTAGTATCTACCCCCCCTGTTACAGCCAACGAAAGATGTACCATATATAAAACCGTTATTCTCTTAATATACTGATCTAGAAAATTGGGTTGCCTGATTTATACAAAATGGGAGGAATTGAAAGCTGTTCATAGCCTGCCCTCTTTTTATATAGAATTCCTCAACTTCCATATAAGTTTATTTGATTTGTTTTGCCCACTTCCCACATCTTTCGGAATTTCTGGTCTTCTACATCTTTCTTGACAAAGCTTTCATCTGCCTGCAAGATATGTCTGTGAATTTATCATCTGCCCAGAAATTTCTATTATAATAGAGTTTTCTTAATGCAAAAATCCCCCCCTCCTTCCTAAAAATTAATGTTGTTTTTGTCTCAAATGTGACATTCTCAAACAATGCCACTTTACAATGCTTTTACTCTCAAATTTCTCCCCTATGCTCAAGAAACTGTACACCATTTTCCCTATTCTTAGAAAATTGCAAAATGAATTATTTTCCCTACCCTCAAAAGATCTTCTCGGAATGTTTTTTTTTTCTATGAACAGCTCCGTGAATAAACCTGCCTACCAAGACTGTACAGTCAGACTGTACTGTCTTATTGATCACGTTCACATGCTTATACTATGGAATGTACCATGGCAACACAGCAATGCAGTCTGAACGTTGTCATGATTGACTGTTTGTGACAACGTCGAATTATGTCCTGATATTTGTTTTCATACGCGGTATGTTGGTTATATTTACACAGTATTCGGTGATTCCAGTCATGTTTACGTGATTTTTAGTTCAAAATTTAAATTCTGTGAATTTTCGTAAATATACATTGTGTGTGGAGGTTTCTGTATGTCATAGAAAGTTTACCAATAAGATCGTGACTACTCTGCTCTCAATCAGGTTTACGTTACTTATTGTTATATGACGTAATGCTATAGCGTGGGCTGTTTGCTACAGAAACCCAACATGGATTCTACCATAGTCAAACGGGGTGGACATACAGCGAATTGATACGCACTGTTTCGAACCGAACAGATCATAGAGCTAAAATGTGTTAGAACCATGAACAGGTGAACTGAACACAAACTATCAATGACCAGATACTCGGACAGGGAACCAAAGTTTGGTAATCGCTGCTGTACTCAGGCTTTCCTGTTTTGTGTTACCCCAATTTCGCTATAGTAAGATTCATGGCGGTGTCCGACTGGGCAGCCAACGACCGAATGAAATGGACGCCCACTCGGACAACGCCGTGGATCCATGTGTGAGGGAAATTCCATAATTGTGTGACGCTGTTAAACACGTAATGTACTTGGACAGAGCTAACTATCTAACTATCTATATATTCCAGAAAACTGACAATGGATTCGCAACGTCAAGAAAAGTGGCCCTGCATAGTCACTTTCACTTTAGCTGCATTGGGTTATTTTCGTTGTAACCACGGAACGACACGCAGAAAATGTTTGCCATGCCTATTGAAATCACGAGGAGGTGACAGGATGGAAAGTTTGTTTGCTAACGAGGACGGTAGAGACGGAGAGACGAATAATGGACCGAATATAAATGATGCTAAATCGTGTAAACTTTGTGATGGGTTGAACATGCAATGGAGACATAAGACAGCACCGACAAATCCAGGTACTAGTACTATGGAGTGTACACACACCGTCCCTCAACACCGAGGGACGGTGATCTAAATGATAAAACAGTGAATTTAAAACCCACTGAATATGCCTGAAATGCTAAATCAGCGAAATTTAAACCCAGTGAAAATTAGTCATTTTACAGTACTGTGAAATACTTTATTTTAGCTGGAATTAATTTTCGCTGAAAAGGCATTTTGGGTGTTTTGTATGGAATTTGTATGGAAGTTGAATGTGAAATATAGGGAAAAAAGTATATTCGCTGGATTTTATTTTCACAGAATCATCCTTTCAGCGAAAATAGCGAAAATAAAGTATTCTACAGTACTATGGAGTGTACACCAATTCGTTCACACTACATATTGACAATGGCCTCCACGATATGGAAAATTAACAATGTGTTAATTCATATTTATGGCGCAACACGTATAAATAAATATTTTAAAATTGCAATGGGAGTTGAATCAAACAAACCAATTAACTTGAAACTTTTCGTTTCAGTTTAAACTGTGAAATTTATAAGTATTTATCAGGATGAAGATGCCATTGTTGTCCTTAGAGTACCAGTAAAAAGACTTAAGTGTCAATACAGTAAAAAGGCGGTAGTTTTCACGCCGCGCATGTGCGACATTTATGTTTATAAACAATCCCATGCGCACTCCTTTTGACCCCGGCGCAACGTACACTAATTACCGTTGCTGACTCCTCCGATGCCTTCCAGTCACCAAAGAAATTACATAGTTAAAGTTTGGTAACGTCTGTACTCGTTGATCTGCACAACAGTCAGAGTCGCCATCTTTGTTCTTATGGGACCCATATCCCGCAGATGCGTGCAGTCACCCATCAATAAAGAAAAAGAGATTTTACTATAATTCAGATGACAAAAGACTGCACAACCAAACGTAATCGTTATATTGATCGACATTGCGTTACCCCTATACGTATTTTTAGCTCCGCTGCCGACTTTGTCGAGCGGAGCTTATCATATGAGTGATTGTCCGTCGGCGTCCGTCGTCGTCCGTGTCAATGTTTTACTTTTTCGAGTTCTTCTTGAAAACTACAAGCCTGAATGCTCTGATACTTGGTGCGTATGTACCTAGAGTAGACCTCAATTAGATTTGTTCATTTCACGATATCTTCAATTCTCTGATTTTGGTGAATATTTTTGTCATTTTTGGTAAAAAGTGATATTTTTGACTTCTTGTTAAAAACCGCAAGTCCGATTGCTTCGATATTAAATATATAGGTACTACATGTGGACATATTATACATACATGTTGTATTGTTCATTTTCTAATGATATCTTCAGTTCTTTAATTGAAATATGTCTTGCTAACAGCGGAGCTATCTCAGCCGAGAGGCTGCTTGTTAACGTCACAGTATCACTCTGTTACTATAGAGGACGTGATTTACAGGAAGGGTGCATTGAACAAAAATGTGCTTCTTTTGCTTTTGTTTAACACATTTTCTGCATTTGTTTGCACATTGACCGATTGTGTTTTTTTTTCTTGTTCACTGAAGAAATCTCAGTCCAGGGTGACTATGAAGAAACGACTGAGTTAAACACATTGGTTGAAAATAGTGATGATATAGAATTCCGTTCGTTATATATTCAAGGTGAGTTGTGATTCGATATGTTACCATAAAGCCATCCATGTTTCATGATATACGATATCGCAATTAAAAGGTTATTTATTGTGGGTTATATGCTAATTGGTGTATGGTCCTCCCTGGGCAGCATACACTAAACTACAATAACTGTTTGTTTTTGTTGTCTACAGATTTGCCATCCGCTAGAAGTGTGACTAAAAAGAAAAGCTTAATTCGGTACTACCTAACGCCGGCACTCTGTTTGTTATGGTTGTGTGGAGTTACCGCCACTATTGTCGACGACTGGAGTTACCGTCTCGTGATAAGCTGGGGCAAAGCCGAACGGATTCTTCACTTGATGTCATATTCCACGTATCTGCTCGTGTTAGTTGTTCCAATCATATCACGGATTATATCTATGTTCTTCGAGTCTCGGCTCCCGGGAAACTGGTGGGTCTACGTACTGACGGATTATCATGTACTCACTCGCCTCCGCCTCATTGATCTGTCACGTGTCAAGAAGTTCGGTTTACTCTGCATCCTGTTCCCACTCACCTGTGTCGGCTTTCAGGCAGGTTATAATATATACGAGATCGTAAATAAATGCACTGCAATAGACATTAGAAAATGTATCGCATTCACAGCTTGTTTTGCCGGGGAAGTCATGTTTGCATCATTTTGCTATATAATTCACCTCCTGAAACGGTCACTGGAAGCCGATCTAAACTCAACCCTTCTCTTTCTAAAAACAAACATTGAAAATGTGCAATCATGTCGACGCCGCATCCTTGAAACATTTGCAGATTTCTTGAGATTGGAAAGTCTTATTTCAACCTGGCTCGTATTTCAATTCTCTGTTGCAATTTTCAAAGTGTCGTGTCAGATTTATTGGAATTATTGGGTTTTCAGTGAAAATTCCACATTCCTTCCAGCAGTGTTGATTAATGTTATGATTTGGCTCGAGTGCTTCATGTTTCTACTTCTGCCGCCTCTGGCCGTTGGTGGCTTCAGCATCGATTATTTATGGAAAGAATTCAAATTATTATCAAAAATGATGTACAGAGAGGAATATTTCACACAGTGGGACGCAATTATCAAGTGTCTAAATCAGCTGAAAAGTACGGAAAATTCGATGTATTTGACAATGTTTTTCTCTGTATTGGGGGTATTTTCCGCGATCCAACTCGCTGACCAATACGCGGATTACTGGCACGAAGATACCATATGTACATGACAACGGCACGATTATGAGGGCGCTCTAATTATAGGACGAGATTCCCGGGGTAATGTCTTATGTCAGCCTCGTTCCAGGGAACATAACCCAAGAAAAATTAGATTCGACGTTAGTTTACATGCACCTGAGATTCTAAACAGAAGATCTACATATACGGGAAATTACCCCCACTACAGGGTGTTGATATAATCCAGTATTTACATGTATGTCTTGCATGCAAAACTCTTCGTACACATCGTATAGACATATACATTACCTCTCTAATTAGTTTCATGAAGTGAATATCAAAAGTATATGATTTGGTTAAGGTCACAAATAAAATATTGGGCGCTATCACAAAGGCGTACTTTTATATTACTGTACAGTCACTCTGATGATAGTCTGTGGCATTCAACTGTATCATCCATGTCAGTCGTGACCCCTTTAGTGCATGCTGGGATATGTCAAGTGGATACTGCCAAAAGGGTCTTTTTAGCGAGAATGTTGTTTTAGCTAATTTAGCTAACCTGTAATTCAAGATGTAGCTAATTTAAAAGAAAGTATTATTCTTACAGTGAGATTGTGATACTTTAGCTAAATTAAGATTTCTCAAGAAATTATTGAAAAACATCTCATGTCTCAAACATTAGTACTTTTTGTTGTCTTGAATTTTTCTTAAAATGTAGGTTTTTGGAATATATAACAAATTCAATAAGGCTAACATCCATAGAAACTGTTCTCAAAGCATTTGTACCAACGTTTTGTACCACACAATAATGTACTAGTATGTCCAGCCAGTGTTAACTGAACATGAACTAATGCAAATATTCAATATTGTTCGGCCAAAATGCTATTTTGTTGATAATTTTCAACATGGATATGAACTAAATAAGACTAACTGGTTCGTGGCCTGCTCTGATTTGTAATCAGATTGGTGATTGGTGCAGTATGAAACTTGATGTGTGTATTATTAAAGAGACAGTAGCCATAACTATTATTTGCAGATTTCTATTGAATAGAACACGATCTGTCCTGGGGTAATTAATGTGAGCTGTTGACAGTCGATTTAAATTGTACATAAATATTTTTGTATGCTGGATTTAATCTAGTGTTTCAGTTTATGCTTCAATGACCTCATCTCTATTTCCAGTACGTCAACTGAAGTTATTTAATAAATCTGTTATTTTTACATACATTTATCATAAATGTAATGATTACACAGCTATTTTTGAATTTTAATGCCAACAATTTTGTATACATTATCACTATTTACAAATACTCTTTTCCATATTATGAATAGTTCTTTGTATCTCAACTTTTTCTGCAAGTTATTTAATTATTGTTTTCCAAATTTGTTTGTGTTTTGAACATATTGTATTTTAAGCTTGTTTCAGAGTAAAGGATTATTAATGCCAATTAAAAAGGACAGAAATGAAATGTTTTTATCCAAAAAAAGTCTGCGATCTGCAACCCTAATTAA